TGTTAAGGAGGCAGGCAGGGACCGGGGAGGGAAGGGGGAAACCCATCCCTGGAGTGTGAAGGAAGGGAACCCCCGAGTCCCTTCACTGCTTCTCACTTTTGCCTGGCCCCTGATTGAGATCTCGGTGAGTTAGCAGCCCCCGACCCTGTATTAGAGTATCAGCTTTTGTGAGCGACAACAAACTGCTTTACCCAGTACGTTGGGATTTTTCTCATTAGGGGCTATTCACTGGCTACGTGTATTGCATAAAAGCCTCCGCCCGAGCTATTACTTGATTTCACACCTGGCCTTTCTGGAAAGACACTAAGCTGCAAGGCCCTGCCAACACATGACTGAGAGACGGACAAAAACCTCCTGCCCACTGCATTGCTGGGGCACGGGCAGTTGTCTTCTAAATCACTTCATTACTGATGATTTGTAAATGATTCTCCGAGGCTTTGTAATTGTTTCAGCTCCATTGCCGGTTAAACGCTGCAACTCCTTGTCATCTTTGTTAAACCTCGCAACTTTGTAACTCTCAGCTACTTTGCTTGTAATTTGCTCTAAACTGCATTCTCCCCTGGGATAGGAATGTGTGTGTGTGTGTGTGTGTGTATGTGAGTGGAGACTATTGAGTGTTTGGGATTAGAAACTGCAAGGCTGAGCACGTGGAGCTAGGTGATGAATTATCAGACCAATCAAGGAGACCTTGCTGCTCTGCTGGATCAAGGGAAGTCTGGGCATGCTCCCTGGTGATGAATGTGGATGAGTCACAGGAGTTGTATAGAGGCAGTAAAAGGAGAGAGCATGTGGCAGAAACCCTTTTTCTGAGAAGTTCCTCTTCCTGCAGCCAGAAGCTCTCTTTGTTTCTTGACCAGCTTCCCAGCCATGATCAGCAGACAGACCCTCCAGAACCAACATGCCTTGGCTCCTTCTGCAACCCATATGCCTGTGTAAGTGTGTGAGTGCCTGAGGGCAGGGATGAATGTGTGTGAATGAATGAAGGGGTATGTGTGAGAGAGGGTGAGAGTGAGAAATGGCTGGTTCCCCTTTAGTGGTAGTTCTGTCCCCTTTAGCTTCACCATATAGTGAAGTGTTAATTCCTCAGTCAAGAAATCCATACTAGTGTAACCCTGGGTGCTCTTCAGTGGGATTTTTTTGAGTAACAGGAGGCTGGGGAGATCCCCGGAGGAATGGGGTGGGAGGCTGGGGAGATCCCAGGGGGAAGTGAGCGGGGAGGAGGGGAATGAGG